TTTTCGCTTCTATTTTGTTCACTAATGAAATAATAAAAAATGGCAATGATATTGAAAAAAATACTGAGAGATATATTTAGTTTACCAAACCCATTATAATTAATTAAAATGAATTCTATAAGAGCTATTAATATGGTTTTAAGTCTTGGCTAACAAATTGTAATACTTTATACTCTATTGTCTTAGAACAAAGTTTTATCAAGAAAAACAAACTGATGAGTATATTATGATCTAATCATTTCATTTTTATCTGTAGGACAAAAAAATAAACAGATATTCATCTCAAACAATGTCCAGTGTCTGTAAAAAGAAAACTTCAGATCGATCGAACATAGCATCTTAGAGAAATGGAGAAGTCATTTTTCACTATTGTGATCCCAATATCATATAAAAGACAGCATCCGAGATCATAGCTTACTTCCTACTCGTCAAATTTACCTGCTCGGAAAATTTCAAATGTTTCTAATGAGTCGTTCTCTAAAAAAAAAGCTGGAAATGGAAAGATCTTTAAATAAACACTTTCAATTTTTTGTTCGATCAACTGTTTATATTTTTTATTGAACAAACACATTAATTGATTATCATCTATTAGAAAAATCGTATCAATTGATCATAGAACCTTTTTCTCTGAAAGTCACCATACGAATAAAATGATTTATTTAAACTATCAATAACAATAAAAATTTAACTTTATTTCGAAGTATATCTATAATTGTTAATCAAAAATTTTGCTTGATTAACATCCCAACCCATTTGTTGTGATTTAAATAAAAAATCTTGATAAAGATGAGCTGTTGTTGTTTGTAATCGATCAATGTCAACCCAAGATATATTCGATGACGTAACTAAAAATTGATCAAACCGTTTTGAATCAATAAGATATTGAAGAAGAAAATAACATTTAATTAAATCTCCATCATCACAATTATCCATTAAAATAACATCAAAGCGTTTCGAATTTTGATTATATAAAATAGAAAAATGATTTTTAATAAATTGATTTATATCAATTGTTTGTACATGATTTTCATTTAATTGAATACCAACATAACAACGTATTGATTGATATATTTCTCTAAGAATTGGCTCCTGTCGATTGATATATTCAATGGTTTGAATTTGACCATTATGAAAATAATATTCACATAATAATACAAAACGATTCCAATTAAATGTACGTAATTGTAATGTACGTATAGCTCGATAATTAGCATATAAATGAAGCGTTGTCAACATAAAATAAAGAAACCAAACAAGTAAACGATCACGTTTTATTGTACGTAATAAAAAAATATTAACAATCAATGCCAAAAGATTAACAAGTGTTTCTTGAGAACCATCTTTCGCTGATACATCACCCATATTATGAGCTATTGCTTGATGTTGTGTTAATGCAGCACGTGTTGATCCACCAGCTACACCAACAATTGAACGAGATAGATTCGATAAACATGTTATTGGTAATAATAAATGTTTAAAAAATGGTGCTATTAAATCAAGTGATATAGCTAAATCATTAAGAATATCAGCATAGAATCTCCACATTTTCAAATTACTATCAAGACCTTAAAAGAATATTTTATTTTAATTTTTTTTGAATAAATGAAAAATTACCTGTGCCATTAAACCAAGCAAATAAAATTCTTCCTAACATACCAACACCATCTTTAATTAACCAAACAAATGTAGCAGAAAGAACTGAAGCTTTTTCATCACCAACACCCATTCCCTCTAAAATAGCACTAAATGCTAATGCATTTGTAATCGATGAAGCAAATGCTTGTATTGTATCCCTAAATGAAAATTTCTGTCACTCATAGAAAATGAATAAAATATGAATTTACCAAATTTGATAAGCAAGATAGTCACTAGAAACTGTATTTGGATAACCTGTAGGTAAGAAAATTTCTATAAAAATCGAGAGAATCCATTGAATAAATGATTGTTTTTGACGATGAATAGGTTTTGTTGAATCTGTTGATACATGATAGAATCCTTTTGATGTTGAATAAATTCTACCAGTTAATTGACCACGTTGAATTTCACATAACGACATTTTTCATTTATAAAAGCAAATATAAATGACATGGACATAGCAATTCTTTATGTCTAACCAATCAGATATATTTTTATACCATCAATATTTGTCGCTTTCTATCGGTGAATGGATGTTGAAGTTTTTTCTATAGTTTATTCAAATCATAAGCCAAGGTATTGTTTCCGAAACGAAACAAGATTTCTATCATCTTAAAGCAAGTGATGAATAACAACGCAGTCCAACTATCATTGTTGTATTAAAACTAACACTATTAAGAAAATTTAGAAGCGCTCATTTACCAAATATTCTTTTTTTTTTATTCCAATACTAGTTTGAATTGGACTTATTGATTTAACATTTTAATTATCATTAGTAATCGTGCAAATTATTGCAGCAATACGAATTAATGTAAATGGAATTATTGAAAGAACTGTTAACGCAGCTATAATCCAGAAATAACGATAGATAGTGTGAATGTGATGGTGAAGGAGAAAAGAAGCGAGACGCTTACATGTATACCAGTGTTCAGCAGGGATCAATTTTTTGTGACCCAACCAGGCCCGAGATTGAAATATTTTTTGTCAAGAAAAATGAGTTTTTTTCACAGGTTCACAATCTTTCCAATGTATCTATACACACTCTCTCAATATTCGAAAAAAAGAAACCATTATCTCATCTGAAATTGCCGTTTGTCTTATAAAAACTTCGAAATCGGTCAACTGTTAGTGACCCGATCCAAGTCGAACACTGACGTATACCCTTTCTCGTTTTGAACTTACCATCAATATATAGACTCACATGCGTTCTTTAAGCATTGATTGTATGATGTCACATTTAATCTTTTATGACAGTATGCTAATGCGTCGTCTAATACTTGTTCGTAACTGCAACATGATTGATAACACTGTCAAGACAGTTTTTCAAAAATTTTTTAATGAAAAAACGAATTGTGTAATATGATAGTATGTTTGTGATCGAATTGAATCTGATATACATTATCAATTGAAATCACACAAAGCTAAGGTGTGGAAAAAAGTTCGTGGCAATTGTCTTATCGATTTATTTTTACAACTACTTGAGCAATTTCAATAAATAAATAGTCATTTTAAAGAGCATTTAAAAGTGTCCTTATTGTGTAAAAATAAAGGCTCTAGCTCAAGAAGTAAGAGCGTCAATAAAAGAAATTTGTTATATGTGTTTTTCGTTCGCAAAATATAACGGGTGGGGCACATGAAACGGTCATAATCTGCATTTCATTTTTTCATCACTTAATACGTTGCATTAAAAAAACAGAATATGTCACACGATGTAGTATCAAAAGTTCTACAATTTACAAAGTAAAGCTGATTTTAGTTGTGCACTTTTTGTTTTCAAAAAAAAAACAAAATTCTGTTCGACTGATTTTTGACGCTATGAAAAGACTTTTTTTTCTACACGAATAATTCATGAAAAGCTCTATAATTTACAAAGAATAATTTATTTGTTAAAATTGCTCAAGTAGTTGCAAAAATATATCGATAGGAAAATTGTCGCGAGCTTTTTTTCATTTATTATTTTATCTAATAAATAATCTTCTTTTTAAATGACGAGCAGATGATGAACTTACATGTCACACAATGCAAAAAAAAGCCAAAATCCAACTAAAATGAATTTTCGTGGTATATAATGAAGATGTAGAAAATCTATAAGTCACGTCATCAATTCTATCATGATACAAAATGAACCTTGTTTCTGAATAAAAATGAGTGAGAGAAGTTCAAACTACATTCAGTTAGATCCAAGTGAAATCAACTACCAAACAAATAAATAAACAGTCAACATATCTATGTTATACCATGAATTCATAAAAGCCACTTTATATACAACATATTCAACAACAAAGCCTGTAAATATTATCTCAAGAATATAATTCGTTACTTTTTCACTTAAGAATGCGTTGGCCAAACAAAATAATACAAATATAATATGATAATGAAAATCTTGTTCATAGACTAAATATTCACATGTCGTATTATCTAAATAATTATCAGTGTAGATGCTTAGATATTACACTAACATGTATACTTATTCCTCTGTTGTAGATACAATATACACACAGAATCAAGCTATAATAAAAATTAATGTAATAACGTTGTAAAATAGTACTTCTCAATGGTAAAGAATTCATAATGCAATCAATCACAAACGTTATAATCATACTAAAACTAGTAGCTATTGTTAAATGAGCTTGAAAATGCATTGTTAATAATCTTAGAGATTGATCAATCAATACATACTGAACATTTCAGTCGAAAATGAGCAAAAGACATAACAATAAGATTGTTCATATCTATTTTATTCATCAGTGATCTTGGTCAGTTTGCTCATTCTCTTTATATTCACTCACCAATGAAATATATTCTATCGAAAAACCTATACATTGTACAAGTATTTGTATCATTATAAACAAATTTATACAGAGTGTGAAAGCATTATTAAAAGATTCATAACTGGTGTCTTCTAGGAAAAAGATGATAATGAACAAGATATTATCTATCTTTTGATGAGTCCAAAGTTTCGACACCTATTTGACAGACTGATACGAACACATGTCCGAATAGATCTGCATATTATAAGGAGAAACACGATATTAAAAAAAAATGAAACATTGGTACATTACAAATACATTCAATATAGCTTTTGAAGAACTGAAATGTGAAACGAAGATATTTCCTTCAGCTCAATTATACTAGTATAAAATATATAAATCCAAGTCGGAGAGTGTGGGTGTGGGGGAATACCTGGGCATGAGTATGGATGCAGAACGTCTCTCCACATATACCCCACTCTCACTCAAACCCTTCAAATCTTAGTCAAGTGTAGAAGCTTGCATTTTTTTCAACCTTTTTCTTCGTTGTTTAATAAAAAATACAATGAAAAGAAAAAATTCTTTTTGATAAAAATGATCACCATTAAAAGTATCTTAGACAACATTTGGTTTTTCAGATGCTTTTATACGTTTAATAGAAACATTATGATGTCTTTTCTTCTTTCTTTCCTTGCCAATTTTTTCTTCACCTGTTCTTGCTAATTCAACAACTTCTTCATCGTCTTCTTTTGATCGTTCTTTTGGTTTTTCAATAATTTTTTCGACATTGCCAATTTGTGAGTTTTGTTCAATAAAACTATTTGGATCTTCTTCTTCATCATATTGATGATGAGTATCTGGGATTCGAATAATCTTTCTCGATGCAACATTGATCACATCAACCTGGTGTTGTAACATTGTTTGGTGAGTTTCATTTGAAATTGTTTGTATAGAATGATTAACCATTTTTGGTTTTTCTAATGGACGAGAAGATAAACCTCCATATGCATTCATTGCTGGCCAAACTCCGCGTTGAAAATCTCTAGGTCGTAAGGGAGAGATTGTTTTTTCAGTATTTGTTTGTTTATCTTTAACTTGAATAACATCTTGATTAGTCGATAATGGTGGCGTATTTTGCATCATTCCATATGGTGATGGTGATATATTTTTTGATCGATTATAATTATTTATTTTTCTGAAATTATTTTCTTGATTATATTCTGGTGTTGCTACACTCGCTGTATTGTTATCACTAGTAATGTCACCATTTTTGGAACAATAACAAAATACACATAATGTTATAAGTATTGTTATTAACATTACAGAACAAACAATTATACCTAATACTTTCCATTGTGAATCACTCTGTGGATCTAAATTAAATAAATACATAAATCTAAATAAAAGAGATTTACGAATTTACGTAGAACATATAAAACAGTTGAAGCAATAAGACCACCTATTGCTGCTAAACCGACTACTATCATTGTTCCAAATAGAATTCCACCACTACAGCGTGTTAAACCTAGACACAACGGTTTCCAACAACATGAGGTCTAAAAACTAAATATTTAGTTTTAATTAGAAAAACATGTTTATATTCTAACCGATTTCTCATTTCTTTCAAGATCACCATCAGAATGAACATCTTCTGAAAAATAATTGATTTCGAAATTTATAAAAAAAAAAAGAAGAATTGTGGTTAGGTTTACCAGTATACTTATCTTGTGAATCATATGATTGATTTGGATTATAAGGATAGATTGTATCTGTTGCTGGTTGTTTTAATTCATACATTTCTGCTTGTTGAATAAGTCTTTTTGTCGATTTTATCGATGGTGCACTTTGAACTGCTTTGAAAAAAGAAACAAATTCAATAACTAAATTCAATCTCAAAATAACATACCATCACTTATTTCAGAATACGTATTATAAAATGATTGTTGTGGCTTGATTCGATTGCTTTTAAATGATTTATTATAGCCTGATGAATGATCTGAATATTGTGATGCCATGGAAATCAGTTCTTGTTAATAAGAAGCTGGTAGGACTGATATAATTCGTAAAGAGTTTTGATGTTTCTATGATATTGATTTTCGATGAGACTTTTCTAAAACAAAACGATTTACAGATGAATTCAATATATTTCAGGTGTCTGGTATATCAAATTCTAATAAAAACCCTTGTAAATCAAACTTCGGAATGTCGAACATTGCATTCATCATCAATGCATAGTTTGTTTATGAATATAATATACCATCTATTGTTTTTTTTTCGTCGATTCGATTGAAAAAGAAAACTAACAAGTGACTCCTTTTCTCTTCTCATCGACACTCCCCAATCGTCTGAATGAAGTATCTGCATCTCACAACGCTTCGTTTTATGGATTAATCAAACAATCGATTTTTATTTTTCATTTTTTAATAGAATAAAAAAAATATCTTTATGTAAATTTATTATTATAGAAGATGATTATTAATTACGTACATGTCAGATCCAATAGGATCTTTTGTAGTTAATGAATTAGTTAAACGATGATCTCAACATCAGACACGGTTCTATCGATTTTTTTGTTTTATAAATAGATAAATAATAACTCGTGTGTTTAACGATAACATTATAAATATACACGAGAAAAAAAACTGGAAAAAAAGAATTAACATTAACAAATTAACAAGATGTTCAAGGAAAAGGCAAATATGTAACCAGGTATTTTACCTATGTCATGATAGTCGATTTGTTGTATTTTATTAGAATACACGAAATTATGGCTTTACGCTTTATAGTAATAAAACTAGTAAAAAGAAGGAAGTGTGTATTGAAAGCTTATTAAGTTTTTATTTTTTTCCAATTTGAATAATAACAGGTGGGTAATGCCGTCTTTGTATTTCAGGATCGAATAGTATATCTGATAGACATTTACGAATCCAAAAGATACCTGTTTGATTATATTGAATGAATCGCGATGCATTAAGGATAATAAGGAAAGTAATCTCGATCATAAATGTCTCAAGGATTTTGAGCTAAAATACAGAACAAAACAGACACTGACATTTAGATATTGTTGACCTCGAATCGGTGACCTAGACAGACGATAATGAAAAGAACGAAATAGAAAAAAAAAAGTATACGTAATAAAATTTCGATGAATATATGATGAATTCAATTGATTAGAAATGCAAAAGTTCTGTCCGACATGATAATCATTCGAGTAGACAACCATGATTATAAAATGTTGAATAATATGATTTAGAACTTGTACTAAATTAAAAATAGCTGACCTGGATCAAAATATTTCCAGTCAACCTAATTGTGTTTTACTTTAAAACAATATTTTATGTTTTTCATTTGAGCTAGACATCGATTTTTACCCTATAGAACTTTTTCTTATTTCATTTCATTGTTTTTTTCTTTATAGTTAGATAAAACATGTCACTGACTAGATCTGAAGGTGTGGGTGAACTAAATATGCACACTCATATCCACACTCTATTCATACAACACAGGAAACGAACGCTGCAGTATCACAAGAATAGATTTTTAGGAACGTGCTTGCTCGGACTATTGAGTATGTATCATTTGAACATTTCATTCAGTAATATATGCATGAAATCACCACGTAATTTGTTACTATTTCTTTTGATGGATAGTGATAGCTATGTCTGTAGGTTATAGGTACAAAAGTTGGATGCAGGGGTTGATATCGTTGTAGATGAGTATGCGGCGTAGACGTCGATGAAAAGAAAACACACATTCAGACAATTTAGTAAGATACACAAATCTATATCCTAATAATACAAGAATGAACAACTTTGCTTTCTATTGGTAAGAACTCCGCTTACCGTCAAAAAATAGAAGTGACTGCATGATCGAGATATAGTTACCTGAAAGACTTACTACTCGATGTGCTGTGTCAGTTTTTCTTTCTCTAGGTTAATTTGAAGAGAGAACATATCATTATTGTCTACATCAAGTAACCACCAAATAGAGTGAATTTTTGAGCAAAAGGGTTATAATTGCAACTATTTTAGAAGAGAAGATGTGAATGGAGATTTTTCGATTGTCTTCACCTAATTGTGACAATATAGCAAAAGAACTAGTGTATTTCAGGGAAAACGAAAAATCAGAGTTTTGGATTTAAATTTGCACCCTATACGTACTCCTTGGTAAGCTCTATTGAGTGCAGATTCCGAAAAAAATGGACACGTTTCATTCTTGAGTATTTGTCAAACTGAAATCCACTTCAAAAATAAAGAAGTCATATGCGATTAATGGTGAGCAGTATACATAATAGTTTACATAGATAATTCACACCCGGTTGGTTCGTTGTCACAACAACAAAAGTAAACAATATTGTCTTGGAAATTAATACCATGGCAACAAACTATAAACTAAGAGCGCCTACAAATAATGTATGCAACTGTTAATCGAAAGCGAAAACAATCGATACTTGAAACTAATCAGAAATAAAGAATTAATTTTCTTTGAAAGGCTGTTTGAGCAATGAAAGTATCCTAATACATATTGATCGACAATTTGAGAACGTCGATCTTCAATTGCTACCCTATTGGCGATCACAGTGTGCCGATCCTAGATAAAATTTTCTCCTTTTCTCCTGAATACATAAATTCAATGGACAGCATTCTACTTGTGAGTATTAGAGACTGCGGTGTTCATTGTGAAGACATTTATGATTCTTTTTTCGGTCGCAACTGTTTTTTTCTAAGATCGGTAAGCGACGTGATATATGGTGTAACAATTGTAAAACTTAATATCTGATCATTTTTCATGCTTTATCGATTAGATCAGATTACAGTAGAGCTAGTTTTCGAGTATCAAGTTTGAACACAAAGAAATCTAATCTCTGAGAGAATATCTACAAACATTTTATTCTGTTTGAGGACGAATGTTATTCGAATTTTGAAAACAACATACAAGTATAGATAAGATATCCTATTCGTGATATCTTATATGAGCCAGCTCACTTCAAACATTTTTCGGTTTATAAACCAAGAAGACCTACTATTCTGTCATCACTGTTGAAAATGTATCGAATCTTGTACTTAATGGGCTTTGCTTTGATCATAATACTGAATTCAGTCAAGGCTACACCACTTGACGACTATGTCGATACGCCTGATCTATATTTTGGCTCAAAAACTTCTCCAAAAACATGTATTTCCAATACATACGCTCTATGTACTGAACATGACGTCCCAACAATGGTTAGATAGTACAGTAGTAACGAGGAGTATTTTTGGAAATACGTAAATTAATTTTGTTTTGTAGTTTCTTTCTCGTCACAATCTATCTGGTGACACTATATGATCATTACAGTACCACGAATACTTTTACGTTCACATATCGCTTTTATATTTATGAATGGAGAAGACAATACAGATTCGTAAGCGATAGTAACTATTAACAGGAAAACATTTGTGTCTGCTATCTAATTTTTGATTAGAATACATACCAGTAGTTCTGTAACAACTTTTGGTGTGATTGCAGGCAGTATTGTTGTAGAATTGAGACAGATTCTTAATCAACCGATTCGATTTATGATAGGGTCTGCTATTGACGCCATTTGATTTCCAAGAGATTTTACTCATGTTAGGTTGATCCAACACAACAATCTCGTACGGGAGGTGCCATAATAGGATGAACTTGGATGACGTTTATTGAACAAAATGGTACTAATCCATATATTCTTCTGCGTATGCCCATGACAACGGTATATTAAATGAGTATTTTTTTTTGTACTAATGTTTCTTCTACTGTATATTTCAGTATTCTAAGATCTTATTTCATATTTAGTTCTGTAACTAAAGAACTCTTATGCTTTTGACTCTAACTGTCAGATCCTATTGGGATATAAAACTAGTTTTTTCAAGTTATTTAAGTGAAATATTACATGTTCTACAAATAATAAGTAGCAGTATGGAGCATGAATACAACAGACCAGTTGTTAAAGCAAGTATCTAATATTCATATAGATAGTCTAATGAATAAAGAAATGCTTCAATAAGAAATGACCTTTATTACAAACAAATAAACTACACACACATAGACTGAATTCGCAACCAAAAAAAACGAGAAAACATGTTTATATATCTAAAGAAGAGCAAAAAATAGGGATGGTAACAGGTGAAATAAACAGACTAATCATATCTGACTAAATAAGTCGTTCTTCTGGTGGTGGTTTTAAAATCATACTAAATTCCACACGTGAAGTTTGACCACTTTCATTTAATGCTGGTCTATATGTTCCTTGTAATCGACGATTTTCACGTATACGTCCAATAATAATAGTTACTAGAATAATAATCATTAATAATAAAACAGCGATACTAGGCCATATAATATAATGAGATGAAACACTAAGAGATTTTAAAAATTTTTGTTTATTTTCACAATGCAATCCAATAAAATTCTTTGGACAAGAACAACTATATCCATCTATTTGATTAATACAAGTTGCATTATTTTGACATGGACTACTGAAACATTCATCAATTTCTGTTGTACATCGTTCATCTTCATAACCTGTTCATTCAAAAAAAACAGAGAATAAAAATAATATCAATAATGAAAAATTTATTTTTACCTGTTCCTGCACAATTACATATAAATCCTTGATGAAAATCCGGTATACATGTGCTATTATGTTCACAAGGTATAGATTCACATGTTAATAATTCACAATGTACACCTGTAAAATTTGTTAAACATTCACAATAATAATGTTCACCATCAGTTTTACATTGTCCATGATTAAAACAAGGTGACTGTTCTAAACAAATATGTTTATTTTCACAATGTTTTCCTAAATAATGTTCATGACATTGACATAGATATCCACCAGGATAATTAATACATATTCCATTATTTAAACAAATATTTTTTTGATTTATTTCACATTCATTTATATCATATTGACATTCATCACCATACCATTGTTCTGTACATAAACATTTTGCTGTTCCATTGGATAATCTTTGACATGTACCATTATTTT